TAAATCAATACAGTACTTCTAAGTCAATAGACACTTTATTAGGAATTTTATTATTATAGTATTCTATCGATAAAATAGATATAAATAAAGTATATCATTTTTAATATACTATATTACAAACAAATATCGTAATTATCGATGATGCTTTCAAAAAATTTAATGAGCTAAAAAAAGCTGATGAATATTTCAAAATTCTAGATATTTATTTAAGTCACTTGTGCATAGATTATATTTTCGAATAAGAATTTTAAGTCTTTCATGGCTACAGTAGCAGTGCAAAGACCTTAACAATTAGACTACACAGATTTGGGAGTAGTGCAAAGACTTTGTTCTTGCAACAATTAAGCAAGAATTTTATTGCTAAATCGAAGTATGCACAAATTAAAATATAAAAGTAAATAAAAATTTACTTTAAAGATGCTCAATAATTCTTTTACGGATTCGTATCTCAAATTTAATAAATTGTCTTTAAGCAAGAAATTAAAGGTATAGTTAAAATAACTAATATTAAACAATATATAGAGGTGAGTCAATAGAAATGCACCAGATCATTTGCATATCAAGTTCATACAAACTGACAAACTAACAAACAAATTCGTACAAATTGACAGTCAGTTTGTATGAATTTGATAGTCAGTTTGTACGAACTTGATATGCAAAACCTGTACTACAGTATAAGTCATATTGCCACTTCTGATATATCATATTTTATAAAATAAATTAAAAAGCTTATTAATAATATTAAATCTAATGACTATTATTTTAAACTATACTTTTAGAATTATATATACTATAATATTAAGGTTTAAAAATAAATTTATTATATTTTAATTAAATATTTTTTCTTATCAATTTACAAATTTATAAAAAATATTTAAATTATATAGTTTTTAATTTATAACTTTTTTTTTTATTATGCAAACTATATTTTTCTATTAAATAAAAATGTTCTTTATATTATTTTACATATAAGATAAATTTTTTTTAAAATTTAAAAAAAATTTTATCAGTATAATTTATAAATAAGTACTTGTAAATATAAAAAATATAGTGATTTTTTATATAAAATATAATTATATAGTAAGTTTATAAAATTAATAATTAATATATTTTTAAATAATATAAATATAAAATATATGTTAAGAGGTTTATTTTATATATATAAATATAAATAAAATTTTTAAATTCTAAAAAAATTTTATAATTACTAACTTTTTTATATATAAGTATTATTAATTTTACTATATAAAATTACTAATTTTTTATATAGTAAACTAATTTAAATAGGTAATTTTCTTTTTACTATAACTTTTTTTTACATAATAATCATAGTTGAAATTTTGCAAATTTATATATCAATGTTATACCAAGATACTTGCGTAGTAGCACAAAAAAATACTTAATTGTAATTGGTTAATTTATAAATATATCAAAAAATTTTAATTTTTTAATTTTTTTTTTAAAAAATTAACCAACTTTGAGATTTTTTTAAATAATTTGTAATCAAAATTTAATTTAATTTTTTTTTATAAATAAATTCTATAAATCTTCAAATATTGAATATATTTATTTAATTGCAAATTAATATGTGAAATTTTGAATAATTACATTTTAATTCAAATGTATCAGGTTGATGTATCATGCTTAATGAGATGACCAATACTATTAAATGAAGATTATACAGTATAGTATTTCAGCATCGGTGGATACTAAAATAAGTCATATGATTAGCCAGTTAAATATCAATATTAATAGGATCTGTATTATTTCGTCGACAATCACTTCATAGACACCACATTTTACTGACAACTATTCATCGACAAGTTCATTTCACCAAAGCTCATTTCACCAACAAGTTTTTTTTTAATTATATTTTGTTAAATTTTTGTACTAAATTAATAATTTTTGTTTATAAAACTCATACCTGATAATCAATTAAAATGTTTAATAAATAAAAAACTTAATTAGTTGATGGTTTAAATTAAAAGAATACGTCAATGTTTTCATTACTTGTTCATCATCTTCATGACTGTTAGTTTGTACGAACTTGGTATGCAAAACCTGTATTGGGCACCAATCGATCTTTCAATTTTTGATAAATCAAATAAGGAGATATCAGTGCTGGTTTAACATAAATTATAGATGCTCCTTTTGTAAAAAATTTTTATGATTTTTTGATTCTATACTGCTACGCAAATAGCTTGGTATAATAATTTAAAAAATTTATATAAGGTTATTATGTAAAAAGAGTTATAGCATTAAGTAAAGTACTAATTTTTTGTATAATATTACTATTTAATTAAGGACATTTCTATATATCACTGGTTAGAGATGTTTAGCTTATATATCTCTGACCTAAAACTACGCCATGATCAATAATTTTGATTAGGGTTAGATCACATAGTATGGTATGAGATAAATGTGACAAATAGTAGTAGTTATAAATTATTTAAATAAAATAAAAAACTTTTTTTTATATGTAAAAAAAAAAAAATATATTTTATATTCATAGTGTTTAAAATGAGCAAAAATAATGCAACACGCTTTTTAAAATAAAGCTCATACCTGTGAAAAATTTGGCCTATTGATACTTTTTAAAATTTTTATTTTTAAAAACTATAGTATTTAGGAATAAAAAAAAAAAAAGTTAACAGATACACCCGGAATTGTGTGAAACAATTCGATCTAACTAAAAATTTTTTTGTTGTATTATTTATGACTGTCACTGTACTACAGTATAAATAAATATACACATTCAAAAATTTTCGTAAATCTGAAATTAAGTCAAATTATATGTTGTTTTACACAAAATTCTTGTAGTATAATGCAGACTCATTATGTGGTTCAATTTGTTTAAATCAACAAGTGACTTGTTATATTTTCCTATTTTATAATAAACTATCTCACGAGTTCTTAAAGCTTCTGCATTAATTGGATTGATTTCCAATATCTTGTTTAATACATCAATTGATTCTTTATATCTGCCCATCTTTTGGTAAGTTAAACTACAATTAATGCTTAGATCAATTGTAAATTTTGGGTTTGCAATATCATGTTTAAGTTCGGATGATTTATCTAAATCAGCAAGTATCATGAATTATATAATATGTTTCTATTTTAAGGTCTGTTAACTAGAATAAACTATTAGTTTATTTTATTATAACTAATAGTTATAGTTCACACCTCTACATCAAAGTTATCATTAATCGAGATGATTATAGATTTAAGTCATATATTTACTATTATTTTTTTTGTATTAACAAGTAAATATGTTATTGAATAAGAATTTAACAGTTTTATATAAATAGGAAAAATTAGAGGTTGTGGGACCTGACTGAACCCTGGCTATTCAGGGTGGATTGTTGCTTAATTAGAAAGGAGTTGATCGTATCTGTCACATCTGTCATATACATTGCATCTGTCGTATATATCGTATGCGACCAATCAGTCACATGTGACACATGTGTCGAATGTGACAGATAGCAGCGATCAGAAATATCAGTAGGATATAACTGCTCAGTAGCATTAAAGATATCAGTCATATCTATCGCATAATGTAAATAGAACTCTACAATTATAAATAAAGGCCGAGAGGCCCTTTGGAAAGAACAACTTCCCCTTTGCGCAATAATACATAATACATATATCTCATAATTAATGATCGTAAATCGCTTGTTATAGTAAACCAAGTATCTTTATTAAACAGTAAATAATACATTCACTACAACATAATCTGTCCCTAACTCAAAAGTATATAAAGTGTGTCCGTACGTTTGATCGATAATCAACCCAAAACATTCTTAATCGATAGGACCCAACCCCTTTAACTAACAAACCACTTGACAAATCTAACACGTCTCTTTCGAACTGAAATACCCTTCCAGAGGGTAATACGAGAATTCCGACCAATTAGCGACTGACTTGCCATTTACGATCACAAGATACAAACTATAAACTATTATTTATAATAAATAAAGCGTATGTAGTTTATTGTAAAGCTGTAGTATAAAATAAAGTATTTCAAACTCTTTCTGTCAATCATCAAAATTTAGAAAAAACTAAAAAAAGAAAATTTAAAAAAAAAAAAAAGAATAGAACTAACTAGCCTAGAAGAAGAACCCAAAATAGCTAACATATGCAAAAAAACAACTAACACTAAAACTTCTAACACATTAGAAACAAACACAGTCTACAGAAAAACAAAGAAAACAATGAACCAGTCTTCTAAGGACCTGGTTTTACACAACTACTGAGCAAATAGCAAATAACTAATTATATACCAATATATATTCCTAACCTTAACTTGAACATTTATACTATGAACAAACAAAATAGTAAGACAGGTCCTAAACAACCTTCAGATATCCAACTTAAAAAATGTTATTACAACTCTCTTAAAACTCCAACACAATACTCGAACACACAAAAAAGTAGGCAATCTGGTATACCCTTATCAAAAAACAACACAATATCACATGAATAACCAATTACAACATCACATGAATAACCAATTACAACAACAATTACTATAAATAGTAACAACAACATGGTCACAACAGTAGCAGGTAATTACAACACAACAAACATTCTAGAAAAGAAATTACAAAATGATGCAATGCAAATAGCTGATGTAGATATGCAATAAGAAATTTAACATAATAGTATAAACAATACAACAACCAAACCAGCAACAATAGGACTGAACTAATAGACAACATAAACTTAACTGCAAATCAAACACTAATCAATCAACAATAACTTACCTATAACCAAGCACTTTAACAAAATACAGACATGAATTACATGATAACAGACAAACTACTGCATCTCTTTAGCAATTCTTTTAAAATTTAAATATCATGATCCTGCATTTTTATATTTTTTACTAACAACAAACAAATCAAACCAGCATATCAAATAGAATTCAATAAGCTCTTACAAAATGCAATTAACAAATACAAATTACAACACAAAGTAATCTTAACAAATAAGCAAACTAGAAACTAAATTCAGCTTAAACTTTGACAAAAACTTATTATTGAATACCTAACAAATTTAAACTTCAGAAATCTGAAATCAGATCAGGCAACACAAGTAATAAAATATTATAAAAACTTTATTAAAGCAACACCAGTTCAAGACAACCAACAAATACAAGATGTGATATATCAAGCATATGAAGAAAAAAAGCAAGACTTACCAGATTTATCCCAAGATATTGATACAGAAATAATAGAACTTCAACCTTTCAGTCTACCAATTGAGAAAAATTTTTAACAAGAGCAGTTGTAACTATCTTGCACATATTATTCAATTTCAAAATCCTTCTAGATATCTACTTTATTACTTTGCCTCAATTATTACAGAACATATCTGATTTCAAAGAAGAATTGAAACACTACTTTCTAATTATTGATCTAAAACAGTTAACAACCTTGGCTATTTTAGAAATAAGCTGGCAGACCACTACAGCTTCTCAAAAATACCTTCTAATTACTTTGAGCTTCTTTTAGAAAAAGAGTTACTACTTACAACCTACTATCAATTAAATAGTTATATATGATTCTTGTTCTCTTTTAATCCTAAGAACAACAAAATAACTATACAACAAATAGCAGATCTACTTCACAAACATTATAGATTCAGAACTATATCTAATAACTACTTCAAACAAAAATCAGTACTTCTAAAACAACCAAAAGACATCAACACTACTTTTATATATACTTATTTTATAACTAATGACAATTAAGCAAAAAAGTTCTTAGAAGAGATTAAGAAAAAATACAAAGTTACTTTTCTAATTAGTTCAGAAATTATGACAGCCAACCCAACTGACAAACCAAGATTACCAAAAGACCATACTTAGATAACTCAATTCAACATTACAGTACCAATCACTTCTTCTAGACAACTGGTAGACACTACAAGACTTTTTTGACAGGAATACTATTTCTTAAAAATTTTAAATAGCTGGATTAGTATAACACAAAAAGCAATACTCCAAGATGACATAGTAAAATCTAATCTACTACAATCACTGATATAACTTTAAGAAGCACTAGAGATAAAATATATATCAATATCCTAATTAAAAAACAACAAGATGTAATAACAACTCTTGAAATATTATGAACACACTTCAATATACCTATTATTCCTAACTATTTACTAAAACTACCTTTACTTCCAAAACCTACTTGGGATATCTTTGCTTAATAACTATGACTTAAATATCCCAAAACAACAAAAATAGCAACAACAATATACAAACAACAAATAACTTAAATATTATAATACACAATGTACAAGGCCTTAACAATAGACTAAAACTACAAATATAGCTAAAATTTTGTTACAAATCACAATATCATATTATTAGTATAACTAAGACTAAAATAGCAAAATCAGCATATTTTAAGTTTATACTATCCAATTCATATTACAAAATATATACTGCAAACTGTAACTCTACTACAACAATCACAGTCTTAATTCATTACAACCTTATATATACAATATTTTAACTCTATCTAGTACAGCATTAGCAGTGGACTTTTACTTCTCAAACAACAAGTAAATACATATAATTTTAGTATATTTATCTTTCAATAACAAAAAGCT